CCTGCCCCGGAGGTGACCACAGGGCGCGGCAGACCTCTCCTGACCCGCCCGCTGCTCCCCTCAGCAGTGGACTTCGTCGATCTGCCTGTTCTGCTCCCCGTTCTATCTCTGGTGAATCCTCTCACCCTCTGCATCTCTGACCTGTACCCCAGTTCTGTATGAATGAATAAATAAATCTTTAAAAAATAAAAAAAATAAAAATAAATAAAAAAAAATTTAAAAAAGAAAGAAAAGGTTCCCCCTACCGCCACACTTCAGAAGTAATAATCACACAGAAGTAATAATTGCACTTCAGAAGTGAGCAAACCACGCAGATCCCCTCTTTCAGGAGAGTCCGGTGCAGACACACGAAGCACACAGCACACGGGGCTTGAAAATCGCAGAACTAATGAAATAAATGAGCTAAATTAGTTTTGCTTTCCTCAGTAAAGAGCAATAAGTCACATGTCATCTGCTCCAGCGAGCTAACATTTCGTGACTTCAGCTTTAATTAGAAGAAAGAAGCCCAGTGTTTTGTTTTTATCCATCTATTTATGCTAACATCTGTAGACTCTCCCCACAGAGAGGAGACCCAACACAATCAGGAACACGGACACTTCCCAGAAAAACGTTCGCTGTGTATCTGTGCTTGCTAAGAGATTCCTCTTTCATGCCATATTAATGGCACCAGCCTCCGCCTTCGCACCGCGCACGAGTCCCGTGAGATCCCACAGCCACCACAGTCCCTGTGCCCTTCCCACCCCGCCCTGACCCGCCTCCCTCCCCTCGCCTGCAGGGGGCGCTGCCCTAGGGCTGCTGGTGATTTTGGCTTTTACTCTATTATAGTTACCTGAGTTTTACTCCTGATCCCTTACTTGGTTCCTCTACACTCCTCCTATAAGCGAGACCGTTCGATATGTTTCCTTCCTTCACTGAGCAGCCTCTTTTCCAGCTAGCTCCATCCATGCTGCTACGAGGGCCTACAACTACTTACTTTCCAAGAACAAAGCATTTTTAGAAATTTTGAGAACGTGTAAACTACACAATAGTTCATTCGATAACCATAATTCCAAATGCTATTCC